TTAAGTCCTGCTTGGTGTGAAGAGAATTTTAAGAATATTTTCATATTTTAAAAACAAAGGCGGCCTTGACAATGAATCGAAAACTATTTTTAGTTTAGGTAAAGTAATCTTTTTGTTCATGATACGGAAAAATTTTATTCAGAAAAGTTGTTCAAAATGAGAAATTATGTTCCTATACAAAATTTCAGAAGGATCTATCTACTTTGGTTGAACCATCACATTTTAGTTTAAATAACATAAATATTCTATAGCAATTGAAATGTGAACTAAAACTGAGGGATAATATAATTTATCTACGACTGCTTGGATAAGTCATCATTACCGCACTCATTTGAGGTGATTTGAGTTACGTAATGAAGTTCATTACCGCACTGGTTTCATTACGTAACGCATTTTTAGCCTAATCAGAACAGACTTAATTTATTGAAACGAGCAACAATACAAAAGAAAAAGTGCTATCTACTTACAGAGAAACAATACTATTTATTATAAACATTAATTGTTATGTTTTTACATTTCGAAACACTTATTCCAGATGAGTAAACATGTTGAAACTGACAATTCAAAATTGTCAACAATCATTTCAAAATATTTTTATAAATGTCAAATAGACTTTTTTAAAGAAATAGTTACTATTTAATTACTAAAAAATAGTAATTTTTAGCAGTCGTAGATAAAATGCTGTATATCACACGTGGGCTGGAGCATAATTACAGTACTCGTGTGATTACACGACTCGGTCTACGACCTCGTCTAGCCCACTTGTAATATAAATAACTATTATTTGTCAATATTTGCGACTACTTAAGTCATTTTTTTTTTCAATGGCATTTTTCATTGTTTTTTTTTTTCTTCATTCTGACCTAATCTAAAATATGGTGGTTTAATCAATGTAGGTAGATCTTTCTGAAATTTTGCATAGTGCCATAATTTCTCATTCTGAACAACTTTTCTTAATGATATTTTGCTGTATCATGAAAAAAAAGCTTACTTTACCTGAACTCAAAATAGTTTTCGTTTCACTATCAAGACCAAGTTGATTTTCAAAATATGAAAATATACCTAAAATTCTCTCCACGCCAAGCAGGGCTTAATTACTTAGCCTTAAAATAAAATTCAAAAATTTTTAAGTCATTATACCTCTTGTAACATCTATCCTGGGACACACTGTATATTATGTGTAAATCACTATGCTATTATCAGAACAAAATAAGGAAAAATAAGACCATACAATATCCATCGTAATAGCAATAGAGAATGCGAAATTGACATGCCAAGTAACATACAAATATTGAATAACGTTGAATGGCTTTAATGCGATCTAGAGTCGCATACATGAGGTTTTATACAAATCCATGACAAAGCTTACTGTGGTCAAATTCAAAATAAAGAATTTTTATACACTTAATGTTCATGAAGTTCCCAATAATTCTGATAACAAGCTCCAAGTTTCGGTAGGAATTTTTCACTACACATTAAATGAAATGGTAATATAATAATTTGGCATCTAAGATAATACTAAGATCTTTGTTTATTTATACATTCGATAGTACTAGTATTAAAGATGTCATGAAAGTTAAGGGAATAAGGTTTCCCCATTTCATTTTCCTCATAGTTTGGGCAAAGTTTGTTAACACGTTTAGTTCGTCTGACTTCATTAGGAGTTGACACATTTATTAGGCAGGGACGTACGTACGTCATTTCATTCAGTGCTTTAACTCATATTGCTACTTTTCGATCGCAAGCGGCTTCGGCGCATCTTACAATAAGAATTATACGATGTAGTTTTATTACGTCGAAGTCTCTGACGACTGATGTACTGCTTTTATTGCCATGTCAAGCCAAAACTTATCTACACTTCAGCAACGATGCCTTAATGAGGCATACATTATCAACAAAATTTATTAAATTAAAAACGTATTGTAGTTCAACATACCTACTTAGCTGGGCCTACAAAGTCAGAACACAAAGAAATCTATCAAGAACATTTGCAAGCTACGAAGATCTACGACAGAGAGATGGGCTGTCATGTCTGCTCTTTAACATTGCCCTGGGAAGGGTAATATGAGATGCAGGACGTTGAACATTGGGACAATATTTAACAAGTCAACGCAGAACTTGGAATTTGTCGGTGACATAAATATTACACGGAGAACAGAAAACGAGGTGGAAGAGGCTTTTATAAGATTGGATAACGTAGCGGAGAAGACGGGTTTAAAGATAGATTTTACAGAGACCAAGTATATGGTAGCAAAAGCTGGCGGTGGAAACATCTCAGCATATACGGAATTTATTAACGAGCAAATGTTGAGATGAATTGGCCATGTAGACAGAATGGACATAAAAAGTATCACAAGAATTATCTTTAATCGCCATGGACCTGTGGGCAGAAGATTGGTTAGGAGGGCGAAGAGACGATTTGTAGAGGACGACCTAAGAAGGCTGAGATCTAGCGACAGGCATGGAATGGACAAGTCTAGAACGAACTGTGAAGTTTACAACGTTAGAAGAACAGGCTAAGGTTCACAACGAGATGTAGAGCCCGATGATGTAGATAAGCCTTGTATTATTCATTAATTCATTTCAAGAACAATATCGACAAAACATGTGTTTTTGACAAAGCAGTGCTCAAAGATTTCTAAGGTCATCGCAATAAGTATCTTTTAACACAGCATCACTTGATTTCTGAAATTTAAATTGAACAAGTTGAACTTTGTGAGACAATGATGGAATAGTTAACGAGTTAAACATTATTATATGGATATTAATTAATTAAAAATGTAGATTTTGAAGTGATGAGTTTACCATTGTATTATAATGTTTACAGCGCAGGTAGATAAAGATTATAATCTGTTAGGGTTTTTCCAAAAATAATATTACATTGTAATATCGGTAATATTCATAAAAAATGAATAAAAGATATATATAATTATGTATACATATATCTAGTATAAAATTGTTATATACCTATAATTATATACATATAAAATTGTTTAACATATTTTAATCCTGGTTTTAAGTGGTGGCATTAAATGAAAAACATCAAAAGATACATCAACTAATAATACAATTTTTGCATTTTTTTTTTAAATTGCATAATAATAACAAAGAGAGTGATCTCCACTCGACCTTCTAACATTTTTATAGGACTGAAAAATAGATTTTTGGAAAAATACTTTTAAAAAGGGCACTAAATTCGAAATAATTGATGATCTTTCTCTATTTTAAGTAAAATACTTCCGATTTCACGATTTGAATGAAATTTTTTATCTATACGTTTTTCATAGATATAAAGGTTTATAATAAATTGTAATAAATTATTTTACTAAGTACTACTTTATATGAAATAAAGGGCTATAGGTTCAGGTAAAGTACTACTTCCGGTTATGTTAATTTATTTAAATTATGATCAACAGATTTAATTTAATAGCCGAATATCAAATTTCATCGAAGTAGATAATTCCGTTCATTTTTCATTTAAGATTTTCGACTTTGCCATTGAATATGGAAAACCGGTGATTCAATTATTGACCGGCCTGTATCTTATACAGGCCTCTGATACAAAAAATGACGTTCTTAATTTTTAAAATGTTAACGTGGTTATAATTAAACTTTTATATTTTATTTTAATTTGTAACTTTAAAGAATGTAAACTTAATATTTGATATTTAAATCTATTAAAAAACTAGTCTGAAGATGGCTATTAGCCGAAACTAGTAAGACTCATGTTTAAAGACCAGTTTAAAAGTATAAAAAAACATTTTATACTATTTCTTCTAAATATTAACAAAAACTGGATTAAAATGGATTTCGAATATAATACTTTACAAAGTTTTGAAAGGTTTATCTTTAAAAACAAAAAAGTTATTTGTTTTTGATCCGCAAACGGACTAAATTTTCTATAAATTGGCTTTCATCTCCTATAATTATCATGAAAATATTATTGTTGTCTTAGAATGCAATAGATATTTGTATGACAAGATATCGATGTTCTATATTTAACAGTTGAGAGTTAAAAGCAGACACCGCCTCAAGCGAGGAGGAATAACAATTAGGTTGTCTATCAATATTATTGATAACTTATACTTGATTGTACTCACAGTGTATCATTCTCTTTTGCGGAATATTGACGGCGTTTTACACATTATGTAAACGGTGCAAGGTTATTAAGTCTGCAATATCAACACGACCTAATGCATGTTGTATGTTAATAGTGAAATGTTTCGTTTATTGTCATATATTTTCTACTTCAGAGATTTTTTTTTTGAACATTTGGCGTTCTCAATTTACACATCTGAAATATCCATTATGTATCCTCGTTAATATCAAATTGTACTTTGATTATTTCAACAAATTCTATTTAATTCTAAGACCAATATTACTCCCTAAGTGGTTGAAATAAAATTTTGAAACAAATTTTTGGCTAACTATTTTGTAAAAAAACCGTTTCATTTTTTTGCCATAAAGTTTCCATCACCTAATATGGCAAGCCTCATTAATTATTGGGCTGTGGAACATAAATTCAAATGAGTCATTAACTGCTCAAAATGTTTAATAAGTGGTTAACGGTATAATTGTTTAATTTAAAAACTTGGAACAAAGATCTTATCATTTCTTTTTAATTTTTTAAGGTGTGTTATGACTCATCTAGAGTACAACCAAGACACCACCTTTAGACAATAACAAGTATCTATCGATTAAAAATCAATTGTTATTCATTTCAAACATTCCCGACAAATCTATTAAAAAATACTCTTGTATTTCTAGTAGATTTCCATTTACATTGACGTCATTCAGGTTGGAATAAAAAAATTATTTAAAATAAAAAAACTTGACCTATATTATAAAATATAAATTTACGAAATCACCTTAATCATTAAAAATTAAAACACAATTAACACATTGTCTAAAAAATATATTTTATACAAGATTCCAGTTAAGGCAAAAGAAATCTTTTAACATAAAAATACCAAGACTAACAGAAAAGAGAAGACACTGACCTGTAGCAGCATGACAGACGCACAGCCAAAAAGAAAAGAGTACTAAAACTTTAAACGTCTCCATTTTTTTATTAAGATTTTTAAGTCCTAATCAAAAAAAAATTAAATTATATATTAAATATCACACTTATAACTTTACTAACAGACACTTTCTATGACAAAGAGGACAACACTCGGTAAAGACTTACCGTTACCACTGGTAGACTTCTGCAACGCTTCGTCCGCCATCAGTTTCGGTTCCAACAATGAGGAAGGTTGAACAAGGAAGGCCGTATTGCGATTTGCGTTGACTCGAAGGAGAAGGAAATTATTTTCGCGCCCACCTTTCACTTTGAACAAGACTCAGAGGTAAAACCATTGGTTGTAGTGTAGAGTGGTAATGTTAAGGTCAAATGGTCTTTCTCAGAATTCTTACTTCTTCATACTAAATTCATTAAATGTAACATAACATAGTATTAAAATGAGAAATATTTAAATTAGTTGGAAAAATGTAAAGTTAAATTAAAGAAGTTGAAGAAATTTATTTTTGAAAGTGGGATTTAGATAATTTAGTAATAATATTGAAGTAATTTAATGGTTTAAGTTGATTTATATATAAAACATATATAAGCTTTACCCTCAAATAGAAATAACAAGAATGCTTATACATATTTAGATGTACAGTGTGTTAATTAATTATCAATAAAGTACTATTATTATTATTATTATTATTATCGTACCCGACGTCATCATTGCAAGTATACAACCAATATTACTGTATTGGCATTGCAATACGCGATTTGCGTATTTGGTTGTATACTTGCAATGATGATGTCTGGCACGGTAATTAATTAACACATTGTAGATTTATGTACACTGTTCCAAGAAAGATTTCTTGGAAGATCTAAAAATTCTCGTTGAATATAGATAGCAATAATTTAAGTTAGATTAAAAGTAAATAAGTATAGTAACTGTAATTGTTATAGAAGGTATGATTAAAAAGTCTATATAAAAGCTAATCAGAAGAAAACGAAATAGCATTAAAAACGGATTTATAGACAACCATATTAATATGTAGTCATGTAGTAAGTTGCATACTTATACTATTAAGTTTTTCACGAAATAGATCATAAATTGTTCGAGGCAATTTAGAAATCACTTAATAGGAACTCATTTACGATGAAGTCAATAATATTAAGCTTAAATTTAATACCGATTGAATTTGTGCAAAGAACACAGAGCTAATGAAGAAGCAAATAACATTGTCATAATCAAAGTAAATAACGTACCTTCAACTGATTGCGTTTTCTACTGCATATTTCTGGATTTATGTTTTTAAATCAGATATTGCAATGGAAAAAGAATTGGTGAAATTGCATTTGAAAAAAGTTGTCCTACTTTGTTTCGACAATAATAAAAGACAAACTGCGAATAATAGAAGTTGCCAAAAGCCACAGCGGATATGAAACCTACAATTTCAAGTAAGAAACGAAAAGAAACCATTTAGATGGTGATCACATAGCAAAAACTTTTTCTCTTAAATATCGATTTAAACGAAAGCACAGAGTCTTGAGAATTTAAAAATGCAAAATGATGATAAATGAAGCTTACGTTTAATGCCAAGCGAGGTCAGCGATATCATTTAAAGACAGAATTATGCTTCTTCTTGGAATTCAATTGGAATCTTTCTGGCGTTGGTATCCTGCTATTTGAAGAATTGACAACATCAACAATACAACATATATTAATGACAGAAGAATGTAAGTAACACTGAATCTGTAGAAGACGAAACCTACTTCTATAATAAGCGTGTATGCTCCTGACATTAGTAAACCCAAAGAGGAGATCGACATGTTTTATCAGAACCATCGAAACAATACTTGACAATGTTCCACAAACGAAGAGGTGATTGTACTGAGAGATTTGAATTGGATACTGCTGTATTAGTAGAATTAAAAAGTTGATTTAATGAAGAAGTCATAAAAGAATGCGGAAAACATCTAATACAGCTATGTGCAATTAACGAATTAAGAAACAACAACATGTATATCCCTCATAAACCACATTACAAATTTACCTTTAAAAAAAATGACGCCAAAAATCGCCAACAGGAATATACAAATAAAATTTTAGATTTCAGAGTACTGATATCAACAATTGCTGCAACCAATCACCTTGTAATGTCAAAAGTACCAAGAAAAATATAATATATAGGAAAACAGCTGGTAGAAAAAATGAGCAAGATCATTATAGAATCGCTCACAGACCCATCCACAAAGACTCAAGAAGATACATGCAAATCCGATTCAACACAATGACAATATAGATATAACTTTGCACAAATTAGAATGTAATATTGTAAAGGTGACCGAGGAAGCCATAGCAGAAGATGCACAAACGCAGGCTGTAGATCAAATACAAAACCTATAATATAACCTCGTAAGAAACATAGTT